CTTTGCGGAAGGCCGGGACGGTAGTAAGGGTCCGGATCTCCATGGGGAGATCGTTCCAGAGAGCTGGAGCTGCGACAGAGAAGGCTCTCCCCCGGGACAGTGTGAGGGAGCTCTTCCTCTTGAACATCATATAATACTCCAATATCACATCTCTTGATTTCTAAATCCTACTTGGGTGTCATCTAGGACAAGCAATCAAATATGATGGGGCCAAAAACAACCCAAAGTTGTTGCAAATTGGATCAAGCATAGATCATTCGTTACATCTCCAGGGGTTGGACAATTTGTTCTAATTTTAATAGAATATACTGTATGCTTTGAATTGGGCAAGGACTGAAGGACAGGTGACATTGGCTGTGTCATTTCTATATTCGTTTACAACCAGCACTCAAGCAAAAGACCCTTTAACCCCATCTTCCCAAGTCACTTCACCATCATCAATCCCATAATTCATTATTTACCAGAGCAGGGTTACTCCTTTCCATTTACCCTGTGCCTCTGTGTGGGTGGACAATTGATTCTATATATGACAAACTGCATCTTTGTAATCTTCCCCTTCTGCCTTTTTAAAATTGCAAATACACCCACTATTATCCTGCTTTCTCCTTCTAGCTTTCCAAGAGGCTAGAAGCTTTCGCTTCTTACTGGTTGTCAAGAAGGAAAAATCCTTTGGATCCAGAATGGAAATTCAGGGTATTAATCGTTTTGTAGGCTAGTTTAAAAACAAATTCTATCAAAATCTGAATGAGAGTTGTGGGCAAGCACCGAAAACAAAATTTTGTTCCAAATCTCCTACTCTCAAAAAAAAAGTTTTGGGAGGAGATTGGTCTCTTATCTTCCATCTTAGTCATGTGCATGGAAATCTGTGGAACCCTGTACCATCATCTATTCTACATGGATTACATCTGTGGCCGGACTAGGTGGATTGCTAGATAAAGCTATAAATACAGATAGCCTTTGCCAGCCTGATGCCCTCCAGATGTGTTTGACCTCAATCTGCATAATTTCCCAGCTAGCATAACCAATGACCATTATACCCGGAGGCTTTCAGAATTGTAACCTTAACCAAATGGAGGGCTTTAGGCAGAGGAAAGTTGGATAATGAGCTATAATTTCAGCTTTCAGGACAAGAAAGAACTGTGTGTGTGTATTTGTGTGTGTGTGTGTGTGTGCGTGCGTGCGTGCGCGTGCAATGTTTTGTTGGCTAGCCTGCAAATCTGCCTGCAAGCATTTGCTTCTGCTGTCAGATTATCCCCGAGACAGATTATTTCCTAGACCCAGACACTCACTGTGCAGTTGCAGCCCTTGCTGTATTCAAGACTCAAGCCTCTTTTCTGGGCAAGAGAAAGCTGAGACCATGGCTGGATGAAGGAACAGGCTGTGATCATGACACGATTGCCATCCATCATCCCTGTTGGCCAAGAAAGAAAGAAAGAAAGAAAGAAAGAAAGAAAGAAAGAAAGAAAGAAAGAAAGAAAGAAAGAAAGAAAGAANTTGCTCATCCATGATAGGGGTGCATGTCATGTTCCTTCTTCCTTAGAAGTGGGGGGGGGGGGGGAAGAGGCCAGATGGGAACAAATGACTGAGAGAGCCCAGTTCTGAACCAAGAGGGAAGGGAGAGAAGCAGCTCAGGGTGAACAGCAGCTGTAGTTATGACAACAAGGCACTAATTGATTTAATTATGTCCCGCTCTTCCTCACCCAGGAGCCCCAACTCAGCTCCATCACTCTTGGGCTCTGGTGTGTGGGTGAACTGAGGCCCTGCCTGGGGTATCCCAAGAGAGGGAAGGGGTGAGTTGCCTCATCCTCTCTCCTTCCCCACAACTGCCTTCACTCTAGCTTCATCCTCCCCGCCCCCCTGCTGCCTTGTGGCTGCATTCTTGCCAGAAGGAGTCCTGCCACCTGGAGGGGGCCAGGAGCAACCCAGAGATGAAACCATGTTCATCCATGGGACTCTCGAGAGCCAAACTTGCTCTTCCTAGGAGCCCTTTCTCACTTGGTTCACCAAGATTAGAAAAGACTTTGCTGACTGGGCTGCATTAAACATCTCCAGTGAACACAGCAAGGCTAGAAGTGGCTGGGCTGAGCTTTCCAGGCCTTTCTAGGCTCTTCTAGGCATGGGCCTGGGCCTGGGTTGAAGCGAACGACAGGAAACCAGGCTGCCAATGTTCAGCAAGCCTACCACAAAATTAAGTGGTGCAGTCCGATATTTGAGGGTATCTGGTTGTAGACCCAAGTCCCCTGGGCTCAGCTCTTGCAGAGCTTCACCAAAAAAGCTGAAAGCAAAAAAAAAAAAAAAAAAAAGAGTGGAGTGAAGGAAAACTGGATATTCTGATACGCAAACCCAGCCCCAAAATGATTGAATCAATCCAACTAAAGTTCAGCTCTTTATTTGCTCACACCAACAGACAGAATCATGAAAACTAAGATCTCAGATTTACTCTCAGATTATAGGGCAGACCAGGACATTTTATGATCCGTGAGCTGTATGCAGCCCCCAGGTAGTCGCAGTCCTGCCTTCAGTGCCAGCAGTATTGTTGAGGACAAGGCAGTGGGAGGGGGGGACCAGCACATGGAGGAGTGTGTGTGTGTGTATAATGGCAGTCGTCCACAACAGTCCCAGTTTCTCATATGGCCCCTTGGGAAAATTAATTGCTCACCCCTGTTGTATTGGGCAAGGTTATTTTAACTCCCTTCCTATGCTTTGAAAAATAAAATCTGTAGCTTTTTCTGTAGGGTAATGAGAAGTTTTTTTTTTAATCTGGCAGCCTTAATTTATCTCAATAATAAAATTATGTGTCAGTCACTGACTTTTCCTATTGATCAATATGGCAGCATTTTTCTTCTTTCATCTGTTACCTGAGAGTCAGGAATATAATAGGTCCAGTATGTAGTTGGTCTTCATTTGGAAAGGAGGTAGAGTCCTGAAAGGATCTGCCTTTGCCCCCTTCCTTCACATGAGCTATTATTTGCAAATTGTCCATGTCCTTGGTGCTCTCTGAGCTTGCTTGTTTTCTTGCAGACATTTCATTACCCTCACTAGGTAACATCATCAGTGCTAGTAAGGACCCCCTTCAGTGCTATTGGTGGCTCTTTGGCTGTTTCTTGATTGGGGTGTTGCTTACTTGATTGTTGGTCTGAAGTTAACCTTGGAGTTCATCTATGCTGAGCTGGGTGCTGATTGCTGGTAGAGAGGTGCTGGAGTCTAGGGTTGTCACATTTTCCCAATGGAAACTATAATTAAATCTGTCCATATATCGTGAAATTAAAGAATTTTTGCCCTTGACTGTCAGTTGGTGTTCATGGATGCCTTCTGCCAGTCTAGAACCCTAGAAGAAAAAACAGGAGTCATCTACAACATACAGTGTAAGGGCTGCCACAACTAGTGTGTAGGACAGGCAGGCAGAAGGCTGGCAGAATGCATCCATGAACACCAACTGGCAGTCAGAAGGCATGATGAAAAAATTTCTTGGGAAATGTTGGGTAACAGTCTTGGGAGAGCAACAGTGGCATCTGCAGGAAATGGCTTTACAGGAAGGGTATGGGGAGACAGAATAGACAGAAGTTTTTCACCTTGCTGGTCAGCCCCACTTTCCATCACTAACAGGATTGTGTTGCTTGACAAACTCTGGGAATCATTGAGAATGTTGAGTACAGTCGGAAGCAGATTCCAACAGAAGGTTTCAGAACCTTGGATAGTTCCAAACAGAGCAATTGCTTGAAAAGGCCTGGAAACTCCAAGGAGTTTCATCATCCTCAAATATACCTTTCGACTTCATTGAATTTGCCCATCTGAAGTACTTGCAAGCTTAATGGGGGCCTGAATGGATGCTGAGACTGACGGAGAAAAGTTTTCTTCCCCAGAGGAAGCAGCTGCCGCATAGCTTATTGGCAAACATTGGCTTACCTAGCGGCACAGTTCAGGATGTTAGGAGGATTTATTGGATTTTATTGGGTTTGTATGCCGCCCTATTCCCGAGGGACTCAGGGCAGCTCACAATAAAAAGGGAAGGGATACAAAAAAATAAAAATAAAATAAACAACAATTTAAAATTATACAACAGCCGTAACCTCGAATGGGGCTGGAT